TGTACTTTCAACCTGAACAATAATAACATCCCAGTCACATATGGCTAAATCACCTTCATTTTCCTGATAATGGCACATGTGAAGTCTGGATTTCTGTAATACTTCGACTTCACCTTTAGTTTCATTACTAAGAGTTTTACAATATGAAACCCAGTTAAAACAAGGTAAATTTGCTTCACTTTTGGCTAAAGAATTGAGAATCTCTCTTAAAGTTTTTGTTTTTCCGCTGGCAACAGGTGAGTGAATTAGGGTTGTAGTAGGTTCCTCACTCATGAAATCTGGATAAGCTTCTGGGGCGTCCTCCATTTCCTTAACATTAATATTATTTCCAGATAAATCTACAAGTGGGAATGGATGCTTTACAGCCTTGGGTAATCTTTCACGTAACCCCCACTTCTTAAGTTTCTCATCTGATTCAACTTTATCTGATACCTTATCAAAGCTTAGTCCCTTGTGATCTGGCTTATATTGCTTCCCTCGATAACATTTAAGTACAAAATCTCCATTTTTTTGAATAAACCCATAGAGTTGATCTTTTTCATGTTTAATGTTACATATAGGGCATTCTTTAATGGATTGTGCTTGAAAATTAACAAAACCATTCCCAATTTTTCCAATCTGGAGCCACCCATATTTTTCAATAACTAGATTAGCACCTTTATTCAAAGCATTTTCATTGTCAATGGGTCGGGATTCTTCTTTTACTGGCTCCTTAGAAGAAAAGATTTGTGGCCAGATCATGGAATAATCCGATTTTGGTTGAACCAAATAATCTTCTAATTTTTGAAATCCATTTTTAACAGAGGAAATAGCTGGTCTTTTGATACGTTCTTCTTTTGCTGATCCAAGAAGCTGAAGATTAAAGTGGGATTTGTAAAGTCCAATATCAATAAATTTGGAATAGGGTTCCCCAACTGATTCAATGACTTTTTCCACAAAACCTTTAAGGTCTCGGTAATCAATAAATCAAGTATGGGGATAAATAATATGCCAGCTACATTTATTAATATTTGATGAACTTGCCAAAACAAAGTTATTTAATGATATCATGCAACCCAATGTGGAATATAATGTATCTGCGCAAGCGACTAAAATTTGAGATATCAAATCTTCACAGGTAATTTTTTCACCATCTAAAGAAGGAAGCTGAGGATTATTAGAGTTGGGCTTTTGTCTTGCATCAATGTCAATTATCAAGCGAAGAGGCCTGTTGCCATCAATACATTCATGTGTATTTGGCATTCTATAAACTTCTATAGGATGATCGATCACTGTATAACCTTTTCCTGCCACCTGGATTATATATTGAGAATGAATCTCTTCAGGTTGGTATGCCTCTAAAAGTGCAGTATCATTTTTGTCAGTATGGCCATGACCCTTTAGGGTCGCCCCTTCGGGCCTGGATGCAAGCCAGTATTTATAAAATGTATGTTCTCTATGGCCAGGTTTATAGTCAAGATCTGTTAAACCTATGAA